TCCACACCTAGCCCCCGATGCAGTAATTCCCATTTAGGACAAGAACATATTCTTGAAAGTAAGTTTCTCTGGCAATCTATTCTGATGTTGGAGTGGCTGTGAGCTAGTGACAGTCCAGCAAATCTTACATCACAGAACCCTGAAACTGCATAACTGCATTCCTGGATGCACTACTGCCTTTACAGTGCTTCAGACTTCTTTCAGCCTCACTAGAATTATCTCTTCAATCCTTTTGTCTGTTCTTGGAAGAACCTTTAACATGAAGGAGGAGGRATTTCATATGAATAAGCTCTTTTAAAAAACCATCCTTATATGTATGAAGCTTGAGAACCAGAAATTTAGAAAAGCATTAATTTGAAATAAAGAAGAATACAACAGGGTGAATTTAGGCACTGAGCCGCTGATGGCTGTTACTCACCAAAGCAAATTGAAGAGCTTTCTAGGAGCTCTCCTGAGCAGATCCCTGGACTGTCTTTTCCTTTGCAACTTACCTGTAGATATGCTCGGCATTTCTTTAAACCCTCTCTTGTTTGAAGCGGGGCATCAGGAAACACACCTGCAGAAAGAGAGAGAGAGAAAAAAAAAGCTCCCTAAAATACATAACGTGGATGTTACCGAGGAGCTAATCACCAACACCTGAATGACAAAATCTGTGAGGAAATGTTTCTCACTGAATAACGGGCAGATTTACCTACTTACCTACTTCAGACAAGTAGCCATGCTGATTCAAAATAGTCAAATGTATTCGGTGTTTCTACAGATATGTAAATAGCTAATGTATAGCAGAGACATTGCTTTGATGCAGGCTGAGTTGGTGTTACATTTTGACTTCGTAAATCTTTATCATTAATTATGCATAATCCTATTATTCGAATATGCATTCAGTAAAGGTGTGTCCACTGTGCATAGTGTTTACATTTTCCAAAAACTTGCCAAAACAAATGGCATCTAAATCTGGTCTCAGAAACATGGCTGCAAACCCTCTTGGTCTTCCATTGCAACTATTAAAAGCACTTCAAGGAATATGTTGGATTCATATCTCTTTGATTTTATTTCAGATTCTTGTGATAACGATAATAAATGTTTATGAAGGTACACTGTTTCCTTGATATATACTGAAATTACTTCTCTTAGCATTGATGAAGCCAGACTAATACTCTGGGATACTGTGCAATCTTAGTATGCTTTTCTTTAGTCAGAAAAACACATATGAAAAGTAGCTATTACCACATGGCCCCCCAAAAAGCAGTAATAGAACTCTTAATTATATTCTAAACAATTGAATAGCCTGATATGACATCTGAGATCCAAGCACTCAGCTGTACTTAGCAGTACTAGCT